TATATATAGTGGTGCAACGATACAGAAAATTCACGATTCAGTTCAGTTCGATACTTTAGTCTCACAGTTAGATATTTTTTCGATACAAAAAAAACAAATTTCCATGCCCCCTTTAACTTGTAATTTATTTAAATTAATTCAGAACATTTGTTTAACCTCAAAAGTACAGTTTTTAAATTAAATGTTGCTGAAACAGCAAGTTTCTCAGTGGATCTGCACTCAAAAACACTGCCTAAGTTGGAGCAGTTGAACACAGATCCACTGATCCTTCAACACAGAGCATCGTCAGAAGACGAGTTGATAAAGTAAGTTTAACCTATGCTACTCTAACACTAAGGGGGTACTGTATCTGCATGGTGCCGCTGGGAGAGACTCTTAAGCTGTCACATATAATATCGTGACTCCTTTTGTTGAGTGAACACTGTGCCTCATGTTTCCACAGGTGTCCCATCTGATCCAGACCTGACAAAACATTCTTGGCAATGGGTGAATGTGTTTGTGAGACCAAAAAAAAAAAAGACAAAAAGAGTGAGACAGAAATCCAAACTGATTCATTAAACAAACATGTCTGATATTGCTGAGACACTGAACCAAATGTTGCTTCCTTTCTTGGTGTTTGACCTTGTGAGTGTGTGTCTAAAAGCAGGGACTGACAATGCTGCTTTTGTTGAGCAAGTCTGCTTTTCATTGAGTTGATGTAAACTGTGGGTCTGCAACTTGTGGCTGCTTTTGCCCCCTGGCAGCTCAATTAAGTCCTTTGAAACTTGAACACTTTGTGAAATCTAGCACAAGTTGAAAAAAAAAAAAAAGCTCCAACATGGCGCTGTGCAAAATCTCTCTGTAGCTGCTTCTTTATTAGACTTTCAAGGAGCCGGACTTTTTTTTTTTTAAGTTTGCAAAAGTAAAAGTGATCCTTCCACGGTGCTCTTTTATGTTGACATAAGTTGCTTTTTTCTAACTTATTTTCAGTCCCCTTTAATTTTAAGTGAACACATCAGTGGACCAGACTGAGCTCAACTGAGAAAATTTGAAGATTGTTGGGAAGAAACAAAAACATTGCTAGCTCAGAGACAAATTTGAAAT